AATTGACGGGACCGCCTCGACCTATCCATTTATTTGGGAATCAATGATTTAACTGTGCTTGGGTATTAAGTGATTTTTTAAAAATTCCACACCAAACATTTAATGTGTGTTCAAGTCACTGGATAGGTCGAGGCGGTCCCGCCAATTGACCACCAAGATCTCCAGCTCTAACACCTCTGGATTATATTTTATGGGGCTACCTTAAATCAGAGGTGTACAACGAAGAAATGAATACCTGAGCACAGTTATTGGAAAAATTAATAATGTATGCAACAACATTAGAAATAAACAGGAAATAATTGACAAATCAGTAAAAAACCTGTTAAAACGTTCGCAGAGGTGTATTGACGTTCACGGTGTTCATTTTGAAAATTTACTTTAGTTTAAATTAATTATTTGTTTCTGTTAGTTTGTTCTGTTACTTTATCAAATAAAATGAGCCCGGTCCTGTGTAGATGTTCAATTTCTTATTGGAAAATGTAGTAGTTGAAAATAAATTAAGATGGTACCTAATTTGTGTAGAGTTTTAAAAATACAGAGTAATATATTTGATTTCAATTTTGTAAATCTGATTTATAATATTGTAGTCGCCACTATAAAAATTGACTGTAAGAAAATCAAGGTGGTGCCATTAAATATTATTACATTATTTTATTTATTGATCCACGTACTATTTAAATGTGCAGTAAGATTTATTAAAATCCGATATACAGATTGATATTCTAGCCAAGAAGAGCAATATAAAAAAAAGAAAGTCCGGTCCTGGAATTTTTTAAAATTAAATTATGGTTTTGATTGACCTAAGAGAGTAACTTTTGTTCAAAATTTTACCAAAATATCTATAGCCGTTCAAACAAAATGGCCGATTTTAGTTTTGGCAAAAAATCATAAACACCCTATATCTCAGAAACGAGTAAGATTAAAAGCTAAGTATAGAGGTGTTTTGAACATTAAGCTGTGTCCGTTTAAATCTGAAACACCCTGTATAAGAACGTTTTATGCTTAACTATTAGACGGACACTACATGCTTAAAGTTCATGTTAGGATTTTTAATTTAAACTTCTTTCCAGTTTCATTTAAGAACGCATGCTAAAAGTCTTGATTTTGAACTTAACAACGTTTATGTTTATACCTTTTAATTCAAAAATTGAACATGGCACTGTTAATTTAAGAATTCAAATAAAGAATATTTTTACTTCAATTTGAATTAGAGTCGTGCAGAATTTTAAATACGCATTCTTGATTAGGTTAGACAAATTTCTCTGTTTGTTACAATAAGAGCAGGATAAATAACAATACTATCTGAAGGGGAGATGCTATGCAAAAAAACTCCTGGAGAGTGTGTAATATCTAAGCATTAAAATGACCATTCTTTTATAGACTTTTAATTAGTTTTAAATTATTTAGAAGTTCCTTTGTGAAATCTTGCTACATCTAGATAGTAGACGTCTCTATCAAGACAAACAGAATCATAAAGGTTACTCTTTTATCTAGAAACATTACGTATTTTCTGAAGTAATTTTTGAAACATTGAATATATTCGTACCCGTTCCAAGATTTGTATTATGAAGGTAGTAAAACTTAAGTGCTACATTAAAAATAAAAGACACAAAATCGGTAGAGTAACTTTACATAAACCAACAAGGCAACGTATCATTTTACAAAAGAAAAAAAAAACAAACGCAAATTATTAATACTTTTGAGGCTTTAATATGATAACATAAAAGACTTGGATGCCACTTTAAGATCTCCTACTGTTAAACAGGTATGCCAACTACTGAGTCAAAGCATGTTTGCCTTTTTTATGCATAAATGCAACAAGTCCTGTAAGATTATCTTAATGAAAACCATCAGTGTCTGCATTAACAAATGGGCAATTAACAAACGGACAAGGCTTCTGCTGTCAAATTTTTCTTCACGCGTCGAAACAAAAAGACCGTATTATCATAAGCGGATGTGGCTTCACTTCATTTTGAACTGCACAAAATTTAATCATTGATGTGATCGAGAAACGAACTTAACCAAAAATATAAAACTAGTGCTCTCTATATGTGGTAAAATATAAAATAAAGTAAAAAAAAATATATTATTAAATAATTACTAATAAATTGATAAGTAAGTTAAAATATTATACAATTTATCTTCTTTTCTGCTTCTTATTTTCTTGAGCGCGCTTTATATATCTGGCAATTTAATTTAGTTTTGTTTGTATTTTTCTATGGCTATCTTTTAATTCACATTATTTCTCTTTATTGTTAATTCTAAATCAAAAGATTTAAATATACTGACTAAAATACCATTCACTCGTTTCGTATATCATTCATATGCTGTATTTATACATTATGTCCCCCTAAGTTGGAATCATATGGAAAACTTTTTTATTATTAATTTTAAGAAAAAAGTTATTCTTCATAAAAAGTTCTGCATTATCTAAAACCTAGAATACAGTCATCAAATATCAAATTTTTATCCAATTTTTTTCCTAAAATTAGTAATAAACAAGCTTTCCTATGCCACCAATATTGAGAAAAAAGTTATTCTTTATAAAAAATCAAGCATGGTCTAAAACCTAAAATACAACCATCAGATATCAAATTTTATCAGTCATAAAGTCTAAAAGAATAAACGTACTTTACTCTTGAGTAAAACTCATATTTTTTGACAAACCTCGTATACCACTGAAAAAATTTGATATTTCATGACTGTATTCTAGGTTTTAGATAATGCAGAACTTTTTATGAAGAATAACTTTTTTTCCTAAAATTAATAATAAAAAAGTTTTCCATATGATTCCAACCTAGGAAGACATACTGTATATGTTTTTGTTATATAATATTAAGTAATAAACGTAATAAATATCATTATTATTAGTTCTTCGGCATTTCTTTAATTCATCGATGAAAACGATTATCAATAATCTCTATTGTAATACAATATCCTAATAGATGATGGGAAGCAACTCGATATATATTTTAAAAATAAGATTTATGAGCGGCGGAAGGACATAGGTCACAATAGGATACCTTGCGGTACACCTCGTCACTTTCTCGAGATAATAATAAACGTGTCGAACGTTTCGTGAGGTATTTTAAGAGATGCGTGCAGAGAGCTGGCATTGTTTTATTACCGAGGGCGTGGAGATTCGATAAAATACCCAGTTCGGCATTGAATTACTTCTCTTTATTTATAGGACTTTTGACGATAAAATATGTATTAATTTTTCTTTATTTTTATATGCTGCTATAAATTCACTAACCGTACATACATATTCATGAAAATTACAGTACACACATACGCGATGCAGTCATTTGTTTAAGGGTTTATTAAGGGGTTGTCCTATTTTTCGTGAGAATTCTCTTTTGTTTTTATTTGAGTTGGGGATTTAGCCGAAAAAAAATTGGTGTAAATTATAGTAGCTTTATTGTTAGATATTTGTAAATGTCACAAAATGTGTACATATTTGTAAAGGATTCATTTATTTATTTATTTGGGACACAAACAGGATAAACCCAGGACACTCCACAAAAAATATATAAAAGTAAATTATTAAAAAAAATGGTAAAGTAACAAATATGCTACAAATTTGTGATGTATGGTACTTCCATTAAATTAGATTACAGGAAAAGGAAAGTATGTGGTAAATATTATTAATATATAATATTAGTAATTATTATTATTAGGAATAACAATTCGTAAGGGATTCATTAGTTTAACACAATTCTGTTATTTAAAATCTTATATATAAATATAACACCTGCCTACTTTGCTTAAGAATAATGAATTTCTAAATAAAAATTATGGTGCATTTGTTAATTTTATTAGAGGTTGGAATTAAGAACCTGTTTTTTGCTGATGAATCCTAATAAGGACGAAACCGGTCCAAGAATGACTTTCTCCTTACTAAGCAATGTCATAGGTAAAATGTTAAAATTACATTTCTATCTCTTCTGTTTTTCCTTTGGATATAATGCAATACTTGTTGCGGTATTAGCCAAAGGAGTAGTTGTTTTTCAAAGGGAAACGGTCGCCTGTATTTTGTGTGACATATTTCGTTTTTTTTTTATTATTTTATTTTACGCCTTGGTCACATTTGAGTTGGAGTTATTTTCCTTTTTTTTTTTCTCTCTTCTGCTTCTTACAAATTGCCAAAAATATTTAGGATTCTGAACATGATTATCATCTACATTTATCAGATATTTTTTATAATCCTCACCTATTAGAAATTTTGATCTGCCGCGTCAAACTTTAAATGTTAAATAGTCTAAATCAGGGGTCTCCAAACTTTCCAGCCTTAGGGTCATACTGATTACTCCAGTAAGTTCCAAGGGCCAAAACCGTTTAAATTTTTCTGCAATTATCTATATCTAGACTAGTCGCCCAGTACGCGCCCTGAGCGAGCATACGCTTGCTAAATTCGCTAGTTGAATTACTACTATTGTGTATTATTATGACCGTGACACTTGACGAAATCTGGTGGTCAAAAGCGGAAATAGGTAGTGGTAGTACCCTCTATCGCTAACAGATAAAGCTAGTATTACTTGCGAAACCGCAGTAACAATTAAACATTTGTAAATAACCTCAGTGGTTCGAGAAAGTTCTGGTGTATTCCACTCACTTCAAAATAGCAGTAATTGAAGCATAAAAAGGCTAGCGGTGCGACCACGAGTCAGTCTGTCTAGGGAAGGCGAAGGAAGCGAAACTGTCTGTAGTGCGTAACCGCGTTTAAAAGACATCTTCGAATCGACCAACCCCCTTACGTAACAGTATTTTGATTTGAGTTGTTTTTGAGTGTAATTTACTAGTATGGAAAAGAACCGAAAAACATACAGCGAATGCAGAACATTCAAAGATCAATAGAACTTTCAATATTTCGTGATTGAGTCCAGTAATAAGGCGCTATATTTGATTTGCAATAAAATTATAGCCGTTCTCAAAGAATATAATATTAAAGGTCATTATGAAACGAAACATTTTCAAAATTACTCAAAATATACAGGAGTATGCGGGTAGAAAAATGTGAAGCTTTGATGCGCGGATTGAAATCGCAGCAATCTTTGTTTACGAAAGTTAATATTGAACAAGAGGCTCTTGAAATCGCAAAACGTGGAAAACCATTCACCGATGAAGAAATGATCAAAGAATGCGTAATTGCACTAGCCGAAGAAATGTGCCCCGAAAAGGTAAATTTATTTAAAACTGTCAGTTTGTCAGCAAAAACCGGTGCTTGGAGGGTAAAAACATCGCAGAAAATATATCATCTCAACTGTCTGACAAAAATGGACATCTTGAGTGGTTTTCTCTGGCCTTGGATGAATCAACGGATGTGTTAGATACTGTTCAGGTGTTGATTTTTATTCAAGTAGATAAAAGTTATGAAGTGTATGAATAACTTCTTGATATTGATAGTATTCATAGCACGACTATTGGGAAAGATGTTTTTAAGGGAGTTGAAACTGACAATAATGGAAAAATTTGAAATTTATTACAACTGATGTAGGCAAAAACAAGTGTGGTAAATACAAAGGAGTGGTTGCTCTATTAGTCTTACATTGTATCATTCATCAATAGTCCATGTGCGGAAAATGTTTGGATATGTCTGAAGTTCTAAAACCAGTCATATCAGTTAATTTCATCAGATTCACTGAACTGAATCATCGATAATTCCGCGAGTTTATTGAAGAGATGGGAAAAAATGACTACCATATCATATTGCCGTATGCTGGTTTAGTTGCGGAAAAGTTCTTCAGCGCTTTTTTGAACTTCGAGCAGTGATCGAAATTTTTTTGAATGAAAAACGTCACCCTCTTACAGAATTACAAAATAGCGGATGGCTGAGGAAGCTAGCATTCTATGTCGATTTGACAAAACATATGACAGAATTAAATTTGAGGTTGCAAGGAGAAAATCAGCTTCTCCCTGATTTATATACCAATATCAATTTGTTCCGGCAGAAAATAATAGTTTCAATCACAATTACGTAAAAAATGTTTCTCACATTTTAAAATATATGAAATATTCAGCCAAACTAATGAGACTGAGTTTCCCGTCGATTTTGCTCGAAGCTTTTAGTGCTTTGAAAATAAATTTTGATGCTTCCTTTAAAGAGTACGCCCTTATTTCAACCTTTTAAAACCCCTTGCAACATTAAAGCCTTTGGTTTTCCGAAGCCTAGTTAGTTCTATTAGTTAATCATTTAGTGAACACGGCTTGTGTGAAATGTGGGCAACAAACACCTTTTAATTTAATTTAATCGTAGTTTCCATATGTTATCCCCAGGAGCCATTCGTAAATTTCTTTTTACTCTATAATTTTCAACCCTCTTCCAGGCTTGCATGCGAAAATGGGGCACCTAAACTTGAATCTGCCGATCTATTTGTAGTTACCTAAGGTGGTTGGAAAAATGCGAAAGTTTTGAAAGTCTCACAAGCCTGCATGACTGCGTTGACTTTAGTCTTGGGTATTAGTTTGTCTTGCATTGTTTTGTAAGACCAAGACTGCAAAACTGCAAGACCAGTTTTGTACCATCATTAAAAAGAGCCACAGTTTTTACTATTTTTTTACAAATTGTATTAGATTATATTCGAAATCGTCCGGAAAACACAATTTTTCGTCCTTGAAGCATAAACTACTATTATTTGGTACTTAATCCAATTTTTTTTAAGTATTCAATAGATACAGTAAAATATATCTTAAATAATATAATTTTGTAATGAAAATCGTTTGCTTTACAAATATTATTCTAGTTTAAAGTATTGCTCAGAACATATAAACATTAGTATCTTTTAAATTTTTTCTATTATAAGTTTCTGATGTCCTATCTTAGAAATGCCAAACATGTTATATCCATCGAAAAAAGTTGTTTTTATTTTTTTAATTATTTAATGCTTTGGCGAGTCGATTATCGTAAATCGATTTTTAAATACCAACGGCAATCCAAAGACTTGAATCGCCGACATTTTTCTTTCTCTCTAATTCCATAACGGTTATTTCATGCAAATGTGAATAGAACACCGACTGGAAGACTGACCATTAAGATGTTTTGTCACTTTCTCTCAATTGAATGTATGGCCAATCCGACACTTCAAAAGTGAATTTACTGTCCATTGATCAAATCAACGCTCCGAGGAGTATACTTAGTGCAGACTCTGGTCGTAAAAGGAAGTAATTTTTGATGTCAAACGAATTGCTTGGTTGACGGCACTACTTTGGTGTATTTTATCTAACAAATTTATGGGAATGAAGGACTAATTGCATGTTAGTATAGACATAGCGTACAATGAAAACTTTAAAACGAAGTTAAATTAATGTTTATTGAAGCAATGTCAAAGAGAAGCATATAAAATGTGTAAATAACTTTATTTTCCTCTAAAACAAATATGATTCAATTTTCTATGGCATATACAAATATGTATTCAGTCACCCAATAAGTTTTGCCCAAATCAGTCGCCAAGAACATAATTGCCTGTCTCCCTGCTCACTTCGAGCTGAATATAGTTTGTTTACACGTGTAAAAAAAACAATGGAAACCACAAGAAGGAAGACTAAAGTAAGACTACTGAAAATATCACATAGAACAAGAGTCAAGTCAAATGAAAGTAGAAAATTGGAAATTAACAACAAAAAGAAATATTAGAGAGATAGTAAGTAAAACAAAAGATTCTAAAATCTGTAATTAAGAACCATAAGAAATTACTAAAACTGTACTAATCCGGGTGACCGGGCGTCCCGTTTTTCCCGGGTGACCGGGCGTCCCGTTTTTCCCGGATTGTCCCGATTTTTCGATTTAAAAACGAAAAAAGAAACATTTATTTATTTATTTTCATTTCGTAATACAACTTTTCGTAATCAGTTGCACAATGTTTTACTTTATGCAACTGGTTGCATAAAGTAGATCGTTTTGGCACTTGCTGCAATTACAAAATATGTCACTTTATATGTCAAAATTAGAAAAATATTTTTATTTCATTAGAATGTGATTCTTTGAATTAAAATTAGAATGAATTAGGTATGTATGTTGTCTGTAGGTACTGTGATAACTTACCTACCTCGTTTTTATTGCTGTTTCAATATTTAAAAAGGGTATACCTAATATTTGAAAGTAAGTATCTACGTAACTATTTTAAAATAATTTTTTTTTAATAAAATGTGATTTTTGTAATGTTTACATTTACATGTAGGTATGTTTTTTTATACTCATCATAAATAATTACTGAGGCCCTTCCTATGGGGCCTCAGTGCAGACGAAAAAAATTTTCTTACCCCCATTTTTTAAAACTTTTTTTTATGTTTCCGATTATTCTGAGTCCGAAAATGCAAAAAAAAAATTTCGTCTGGTCGTCTGTGTGTATATATGCTGGCACGATAACTCTAGAACGAACGTTCTGATTGACTTGCGGTTTTGATTTTCTTGAATAATTCTAACTTAGAACCCTACTGATTTTCAGAATTTTCGGTTCATCCCAACTACTTTAATATAAATTTTCCTAAAATCCGCATAAATGCATTTCTTATGTGACAATTTTAGAAATTCCAATTATTTCTAACATCAACATTCTTAAAATTCCATAAATTGCAAACATTCTCTAACGACCTGTCAAACAACAGCTGTTGATATTAAAGCTGAAATTTCTAAGGCGGGTTACGACCTTCATACTTGCAACCATAGCCATTTTGGAGGCTATTTTTATTCGAAATTAGTAGCCAGGCCTACCAATTTATGAAAAATATACAAGCAATTTCTTAAAAATGACTTTTTTATGGTGGTGCTAACTTAAGCGTACTACTATTTCGCCCCTAGCCACAAAAACACCTTCATCAAATTTACTGGCTCTCTGTCGCCACCCCGGTCATTTTATTTGGCAAAAATCAGATAATACTTGGCTGTGCCTGTCAAGTATCAAGATGTCAACTGTGATGTGCATAGATAAATTAATTTATTTATCTATGGTGATGTGTGAATGGCTCTTAAATGTCAAATTATTTAAAAATGTATACTTTTTTTGATATTTATTGCAAATAATTTGCAGTGTATCTCAATTCAGGCTTTCCATAAATAAAGGTACAGCAAGACAGATAATATAATGTTCTTATACAAAGCACTTTTTTATTATATAAAAGAGAGGTAGGATATAATGCTAGTTTTTTGTAGAAAATTTTTATTATACGATTTTGGATTACATATTCAACCAGCGAATTGTAAATAATAAATAATTAGTAAACTTATAGTACATTTCCTCGATAAATAGAATTTAAAAAATAATCTTCTTACCTTGGTACCGAAGTATTTTGTTGTGTTTTTTATTTTAATTATAAAGTTGTCATTTTTATTTGTATGTTGAAAAAAGGCCTTTGTAAATTACATTGCTCTCTATGGATCTATTTTAACACAAAAATATTTTTTTGGCTATAAGTTGCTATAACCTATCGTCGCAAAACTATTAATAATTTAAACATAGTAAGTAGTATTAATATAACATCAAGTAATTTTTTAAATAAAGTACATGATCTCAAAACAAATAATTTATAATAAATGCGGGTAAAACGAGGGGTAAAATAACAATAAATTAAGGGAAATACTTAAAAAGGGCAGGTTTAAAGAGTATTATCACAAGAAAGTATATCCGTTCTGTTTATTTATCAAGTATTGTTTAAGGTTACTTTTGAATACATTTATTGTTGTTTTTTTTTTAATCTCTGTAGGCAGTCTATTAAATTTTTTAAATCTTTAATAAAAATTGTATTTTGGGAACTTTTACTGATGGATTGCCGTACATGAAAGTCAGATTGGCTTCTTGTATTATAGTTGTGATATTGCGAATTATATTGAATTTTTTATAATAGATCTGATGCGATGGTACTATGTCATTTTTATTTTATACATAAATATCAGTCATGTACTGAACATAATTCTGAACTAAAAGCCAATTTATGTCTTTTAACATGCAATACTCATCCTTCTGTCCTTTATTATTATTATTATTATATAAATAGGCGAAGTAAGGAGCTCAAATATTTTACATGAGCAGGCTTAAGAGGTAAAGGGGCTAATTATTATTGGATAAATTGCTCAAACAAGTTTGTAAACCCTAATCAAAAGGCAATATAGAATGGTTTTAAAAATCAAGGCTTGTGAAAATCATCACATGGTATAACCTAATTAATGCCAATGCTTCACAAACCA